CTGGTTTCGTGTTGCTTCCCTTTTACCCTAAGCGAGCTGGGGACGTAACAGCCACTGTCATACAGATCATAAATCAAAGCCCTCGATTGGTCTCTGTGTGTCATTCAAGCTCGGGATAACCTCAGCTCAGGTGAGGTAAAGGACTCTCTGAGTGTTTAGATAGTTAACTTAGTCTAAGTTCTCAGTGGGTCTCAAACGGTGTGGTCACCATTTATGTAAACACATATTTCCATTTGAGAGGGTAGTGATTGGTCTAATGGATAGTGAGGTGGGCTGAAGATCGGAAGGCTGTGAGTTCAAATCCCGCCAGGAACACCACCACTAGTGTGCCCTTGAGTAAGGCACTTAGCCCTTAGTTACTCCAGGGAGAATGTCCCTGTAATCGGTCATTATAAGTCGCTTTGGATAAAAGCGTCAGCTAAATGAAATGTAATGTGATTAGTAAAATATGCATGAATAAATAAATAAAAAGTTAACTAGGTGAAAAAAGGTAAGATACACTTTTAAAACTTGTTGAGAGAAAACTAGTCTTTGCTGCTGCCTCAAAGAGGACCAGGGGGAGAGGAGGGAGGAGGGAGAGGGAGGAGAGGAAGGAGAGGAGGGAGAGGAGGGAGAGGGGGGAGAGGGGAGAGGCTGGTTCAGGAGCTCAGACACACTCACAACTATAAATGAACCAAAAATAAATTAATAAACAAGTTTCAGTGTTTTTTTCATATTGGAAATGGTATGTTATTGGTTATGGCCATGATTTTATGATTATTGAAATGTATACAGTTCTGTTTAATATAGGTGTTTCCAGATCTGTGGGAAACACTGAACACGCTAACCCTAACCCTCACAGGAGTCATTTTGGGGGGAAATATAAATATATCTGCTTTCCTACATGTTCCTATGATTAAGGTTCCCTGGACGTGAGAGGCAGGCTTCCTGAAAGGCTTTTTTGAAAAGGTCTGGGCTGCAGTCGAATAGTCCATTTAGCTTAGGAACAGGGTTCGAGTTATACTGAGCTCTATGGGGGTCTTTAAAACTAACACGCACGCACACGCACACACACACAGCAGCAGCCCTCTACTTGCTACAAACTTAAATATGAAAAGGTTCAACTACGCGCACACACATCATCTCGGCTCGCGCAGCACGCTCACAGGCATAGATTGCCTAATCATGTATTGCGCACCTTGGAGGTGCAGCGCAGCATATTGTCATTGATTCAGAGATGCGTAGTTCTTTTGGAAAACATGTTTTTCTTTTAGCCTATTTACCTCGTTAACGTAAATAATACTCATTACATTGACACATGCATTATTTGTGATTACAAATAATGGTTGTTGGTATTAGCGACCCCCAGAGATGTATGATTTCACTGCGTCTGTGGGAGCTCAGACCCCTCCTTATGGCAGCTCAGACCCCATAAAGTACGGCAGTCTCTTCTCCTAAGTCCTTTTGAATTCTCCTATCCACTATCCCTTACCCCCGTGACGTTTCACACAGAGGTCAAGGGATAGACGATAGGGATAGACGTTAGGAGCTGATTTTTGGACTAACGAACAACCTTGATTTTTTTTATTTTGAACAAAATCAGAATTCTGACATTTTCAGAAAAATTCCAAATGTCATGAAAAAGTCATGTTAGAATTTTCTGAAAAAAAATCATAATTTGGGGATTTTCTGAAAAAAGTGAGAGTATTGAGATATCCAGAAATATTCATCATTTTGAGAATATTTGAAAAATGTCAAAATTCAGAATTTTAAGGAAAAAAATCCCTAATTTTCAAAGAAATATCAGATGGAGTTTGCAAGAGCTTTTATTTTTGAAATTACTTCCGAAAGCTCCACTCGTTGCCCCAATAATCATTTTTGACAGTTCAGTAAGGTAAGAAAAACAGTACAAGTACAAAAAGTACAAGAAAACCAACAAACTCAAACTCGTATCTCCGCAGTATTTCCTACGGTTGTGCCGAGCACTTGAACGCAGCAGGAGCGTCACCACGTCACTGTTTTCCAACATGGCGGCGCCCCTGCCCGGCAGGTGTGGATTCTTCGTGGAGAAAAAGAAACGCTTCTGTAAAATGATCGTGGCTCGAGGAAATGTGTTCTGCGGAGAGCACGCGACTCAGGTGAGTGCAAGGACTCGTGGTGAGTTCAGGGATCAGTGGTGAGTTCAGGGACCAGTGGTGAGTTCAGGGACCATGATAACAGCTGAGCGAGGGATCCTCATTAGTCTGAACTCCTGTACTGTGTGTGTGTGTGTGTGTGTGTGTGTGTGTGTGTGTGTGTGTGTGTGTGTGTGTGTGTGTGTGTGTGTGTGTGTGTGTGTGTGTGTGTGTGTGTGTGTGTGTGTGTGTGTGTGTGTGTGTGTGTGTGTGTGTGTGTGTGTGTGTGTGTGTGTGTGTGTGTGTGTACTATGTGCCGTATACTGTGTGTACCGTGTGTCTGTGCGTGTGTCTGTGTGTACCGTGTGTCTGTGCGTGTGCTGTGTGTACTGTGTGTACTGTGTGTACTGTGTGCAACATGGTGTATTCAAATAGCTTAAAATGCACAAACTCAGATTCATGTTAAAGTCAAGGTGTTCTCAGATCACTGTAGAGTCTCTACTACACCATCTACAGAAACCTTGTAGAAATATAATGCTTATGTCTGCAGGAGTCAGTGATATCTGTACGTATACTATAGAGGCCATGCTTTGTTGTATACCAGGGACATGTTCACATTTTAGAACATTTTGCACTATATTATCCAGTTTCCAGCTGAAACCATAAATGACTAAACACATGAATGCGTTATTATGCTATAAACCACATGTGTCCAACTTAGGGTTGCCAACTTCCAGAAATGGAGAAACGGGACATATGCATGTGTCCCCCGCGGGCGTGCGCGCGAAGATTTTCGTGTTTCTGGCGGATTTAGTTACTTTTTTTTGTTACTTTATTTCGGTTTAGGGTTATGTTATTTAATTATTTTGGGGGAGCCAGCCCCTAGGGGTCGAAAATGTTTTTGGGGGTCAAACCCCCCAAAACCCTCAAAATGCATAGAAAACTATGCATACCTATAACACAATACAAACACAATGGTCTTACACCTGCATTAGGCTACTACATCACATTGTACATCAGCATGTTCAAATCGGATAGGTGGGCACTAGGGACATCTGGGCACCTCGATATACAATTGGCTATTTTGTCCAAAATGTTAAAAAATAAAATATTTGAAAAATTGTATTAAGTAATGCAAAGTATACATGATGTGAACATGCACGGTACATCATTATTAGACTTAATGTTATCCTTCCACCAACCATTTTCCCATCAATCAGCTGACTCTCTCACACACACACACACACACACACACACACACACACACACACACACACACACACACACACACACACACACACACACACACACACACACACACACACACACGCGCAGAAGACCCTAGACAGATCTCCACTCACGGGCTTTACCCAACTGGGTTTTCCTTCCCACTGTTTGTTGTAAGACACAAGTATTTTCTTTTTAGAAGGGCCCAGAACCACATCCTCTCTCTCTTCTCCTCTTTCATTATCACCTCCTCCACCGGCAGCGCTCATTTCCCCCCACGACTGAACAGGCTGACATGCCACACAAACAGTGATGCCGCGGTCCTAGCGCCCTTCTTATAAAGCACACAAACACACAGGCACGCAGCCAGCCAGACCTATACACTGCATTTCGCGCAAACAGAACAATATATTTTATTTTTCCCTTTACACGGGAGTCCGGGACAAACAAAGTCCCGTACGGGACACGCCCCTTTTGGCTCAAATACGGGGCGTCCCGGCTAATACGGGACGGTTGGCAACCCTAGTCCAACTCAAGGCACGGGGGCCAAATCAGGCCCGTGGTGGATTTAGTTTCGGCCCGCAGGATAATTTCTGCGTTAAATTTAACACGTTCAATTTTTAATAATGGATTTAACCATTTAACATTTAAACAGTCCTTCGGCGCCACTCGATGACGTAGTATACTTGAAATAGTGGCTCTGCAGCAGGAATACTCGACATTGAGAAACGGCCAGAGTTTAATGGATGTTTCCTTCTGCACTTTCTCTCAGGACAACAGGGCATGTTTGGTTTCTCTGTGAGGGGAATAGTTTTGTTGAAGCTGTTGTTGGCCTGTGGGGAAATGTACTCATAAGAAATGACTCTAAGCTGCAGATAGAGCCATAAGAAATGAATGCAGCTGATTATTTAATGTTTAATGTTGTTTTTATAGTAGGGCTGCTCGATTATGGCAAAAATCATAATCTCGATTATTTGGGTCAATAATTGATATCACGATTATTAAAAACGATTATCCATTTACTTTGAAAACATCAATTTATTGGAGAAGAAAAATGTGAACAGCATGTTTTTAACAGTTGATTTCCCTGAACTTTAAGAATAATTCAACTGAAAAACCAATACGTTGTTTTCGTAATCGTTTCAAGCCATGATCGTAATTACGATTTAAAATACGATTAATTGAGCAGCCCTATTTTATAGGCAATAATTTAAGCTTTGTTAATTCCAAGGTTTAATATGTGCAATAAGTTCATTTCAATAAGTTCTGCAATAAACATTGAACCCTCGACTAGTACCCATTTTTTATTTTGGCCCCCTGTGTGTTTGAGTGGACCCCCTGCTCTAAAGTATATTATGAACAACTGAGGAATACGTGGGAGCAGTGTAGGTAGCACCTATTTATTTATTCACTTTGAATGCTTGTACTTTTTAATGTTTTCAGAGGTGACGGAGCAGGGTGCATCTGTCTGTTGTTTTTAGTAACTAATCAATAACCTGAACCTAAAATGTATAATTAGTGTCAGATGATTGATCCCTGTTTCCTGTGAGCAGGAGGAGGGCAGCTGCAGGAGGATCGTTTGTCCTCTGGACCCCAAACAGTGAGTCACTAAATAATAATTATAGCTTTATTAATAATCAGGAGGTTTAATGAATCACTTCCTGTTTCAGCACCGTGAGTGAAGACAAGCTGGAAAAACACCTGAAGAAATGTAACTCCAGAGAGAAGCCCAAGCCTGTGAGACCACTATTACAAATACATTGTTATTATCATTTGATTATTGTTATCATTCTTTTTACTTCTTTTTTTAATTGTTATTCAGAAGAAAATCTGAATTCTGACATTTCTGAAAAAAACAGATTTTAGAGATTTTGGGGGAAAAGTCCAAATTTAGAGATTTTTGGGAAAAAGTCAGAATTTAGAGATTTTTGGGAAAAAGTCCGAATTTTGAGATTTTTTAGAAAAAGTCCGAATTTTGAGATTTTTGGGAAAATGTCAGAATTTAGAGATTTTGAGAAAAAGTCCGAATTTTGAGATTTTTGGGAAAAAGTCAGAATTTTGAGATTTTTGAGAAAAAGTCAGAATTTTGAGATTTTTGGGAAAATGTCAGAATTTAGGGAAAAAGTCAGAATTTTGAGATTTTATGGAAAAAAAGTCATTTTGAAACTTTTGGTGAAAAAATCTGAATTTTGTGATTTTTGAAGAAAGTCAAAATAAGTCATCATTTTTGGATATTCAGAAAAAAGTCATAATTCTGATATTTTCTGAAAAAATACATGATTTAGATTTTTTGAACTTCTTTACTGTTAATGTACATGATTTTTTGAAAACGGTTATATTTTATTTGTATTATTATTAATATATTGTTTTATGTATTTTATTTATTTGAAGCTCAATGAAATGTGATTTTGACTTCCTGCAGGTTTACTATGTGGAGAACATAAACGCTGGACCAGCTGACGGAGACGAGACGCTCCAGCAGGTAACGTCTCACCTGAATATTGTAATCATGATCATATAAACCATAGTAGTGATAATAATAATACAGACATTAGACCTACTAATAACAGCTGCTGCGTCTCAGGTGAGTCTGTGTGATCTCAGCCGGACTCAGCTTCAGTCTCTGTTGGACAAACTGAAGACAGCCGCCACAGGTGAGTCAACATTCACCTGTGAGTTAGATGAGGATGATGATGAGGATGAGGATGATGAGGATGTTGTTGTTGTAGGACTGCAGTGCGACATTGAGGACGGTTTTCTGTCTCATCCGGTCGTTCAGGAGGAACTGGACGACCCAAAGAACGGAGACTCCGCCAACAAACACCTGAAGCAGCAGGTAAACACAAACACCTGAAGCAGCAGGTAAACACAAACACCTGAAGCAGCAGGTAAACACAAACACCTGAAGCAGCAGGTAAACACAAACATCTGAAGCAGCAGGTAAACACAAACACCTGAAGCAGCAGGTAAACACAAACACCTGAAGCAGCAGGTAAACACAAACACCTGAAGCAGCAGGTAAACACAAACATCTGAAGCAGCAGGTAAACACAAACACCTGAAGCAGCAGGTAAACACAAACACCTGAAGCAGCAGGTAAACACAAACACCTGGGGGGTATACTACGAAGCAGGATTTTCTCTTAGCGGCTAAATTCAGGGGAAACTCCGGCTTTCCGGTCCTACGAAGCTGGTTCTCTTTTTAGCGGCTAGATCTCCATGGTAACTTATGCTTAGCGGCTAACCTGGTCGGGACCAGGTTAGGTTGCAGGCTAAGAGCTCAACTCAGTGAAAGCACCGCCTGCTGACCAATCAGAGCTCAGTGTGCGGAGTTTAAAGCGATCAAGTCATATTACAGGAGAAAGGAAATACAGAAAAGCTGCCGTCGCAGGAAAGACGGCCGGCAATAATCACCGACTGTGTGAACGTGAACATGAATAGAATATCAGCTCCATCTTCAGAGCAATCTGACTATTATAACATTAGCGTTAAGAAAGCTTACTGAAATATCTGCCACAACATAAGTAACCGGATCAGAGTCACATTAAGTACAGTCCATATCACTTCATAATGTATCATCTCCTGATCTGAGTCAGCTGAGCCGTATCTGGCCGTGCAACACTCACAGCGTCACAGACTGGATGCAGAAGTATTATTTGAAGCAACACATTAAGTTGAGGAAACACTGGAGTCAAATGTAATGAAAGTCAGATGGTGTCTTAGACGGGCAGTGATATCATAAAGCTGTTAGTGTACGCATTCAAACACTTGTTCTGTTCCCAGCTGTGTTCACCTTGCAGGTGCAGCTCTGTGGCTTTGATCCTGGATCAAGTGTTTAAGTCATGGATGTTTAAAGTTTAACTTCTTCATTTTTTACTAGTATTAAAGTTCACTTTTCATTCAGGAAGTGTGACGCTGCGCTGTCAGTGCACTTCTCCATGTCTGTGATTGGTCGAATGCTCCAGATACCACCCCTCTCATGTGAACGCCTAACTAGATAGGACACGGCTGGCTTGAGCGATCCACTTGATAACTAGCGTCGTAGGACCGCTTAGCGAGAGCGCGTATGTTTTGGATTAGGCCAACCAGCTAACTCAAACACATCCAGGTTAGGTTGAACCTGCTTCGTAGTATAGGCCCCTGAGCAGCAGGTAAACACAAACACCTGAGCAGCAGGTAAACAAACACCTGAGCAGCAGGTAAACAAACACCTGGGGGGTATACTACGAAGCTGGTTCAACCTAACCTGGATGTGTTTGAGTTAGCCGGTTGGCCTAATCCAAAACATACGCGCTCTCGCTAAGCGGTCCTACGACGCGGGTTATCAAGTGGATCGCTCAAGCCAGCCGTGTCCTATCTAGTTAGGTGTTCACATGAGAGGGGTGGTATCTGGAGCATTCGACCAATCACAGACATGGAGAAGCGCACTGACAGCGCAGCGTCATACTTCCTGAATGAAAAGTGAACTATAATATTAGACATATGAAGAAGTTAAACTTTAAACATCCATGACTTAAACACTTGATCCAGGATCAAAGCCACAGAGCTGCACCTGCAAGGTGAACACAGCTGGGAACAGAACAAGTGTTTGAATGCGTACATTAACAGCTTTATGATATCACTGCCCGTCTAAGACACCATCTGACTTTCATTACATTTGACTCCAGTGTTTCCTCAACTTAATGTGTTGCTTCAAATAATGCTTCTGCATCCAGTCTGTGACGCTGTGAGTGTTGCACGGCCAGATACGGCTCAGCTGACTCAGATCAGGAGATGATACATTATGAAGTGATATGGACTGTACTTAATGTGACTCTGATCCGGTTACTTATGTTGTGGCAGATATTTCAGTAAGCTTTCTTAACGCTAATGTTATAATAGTGAGATTGCTCTGAAGATGGAGCTGATATTCTATTCATGTTCACGCTCACACAGTCGCTGATTTTTGCCGGCCGTCTTTCCTGCAACGGCAGCTTTTCTGTATTTCCTTTCTCCTGTAATATGACTTGATCGCTTTAAACTCCGCACACTGAGCTCTGATTGGTCAGCAGGCGGTGCTTTCACTGAGTTGAGCTCTTAGCCTGCAACATAACCTGCTCCGGAGCAGGTTAGCCGCTCAGCATCAGTTACCATGGAGATCTAGCCCGCTAAAAAGAGAACTCTCTCACCTGTCAGGTGTGTGCAGTCCTCTCTGTTAGGTCACATGGAGGCGCTGGGGCTGCTGGGTAGGGGGCGGAGCTTCGTGGAGTTCGGAGCGGGTCGAGGGAAACTTTCCCACTGGATCCACGAAGCCCTGAGGAGACGAGACCCCCTGAAGACAGGTGAGGATCTGAAGGACCTGCAGTTCCTGCTGGTGGAGCGCAGCAGCACGCGCTTCAAGGTAAACTACATTATTAATAATAATTCATGACACTTTCTAGAAACTCAAAGACGCTTTGACAGAGAATTACACAACGAAGAAGAAATTACGTAAGGAGACAAACAGAAACAGATAAGGGGGGGGGGGGGGGGTTCAGTGTTGAACAGGTTACTTATTATTACTCCTTCCTGCTTTCCTTTCACAATAAAAGCCCTAAAGATACACACTAACTGTTTACCTCTCAGACAGGGTTGGAGTTATGTGGGAGCCAATGGGAGCTAAGGAGGTCTGAGCTCCTGAAGCAGTGAAATCCTACATCTGTGGGGGTCGCTAATACATTACCAACAACCATTATTTGAATCACAAATCATGCATGTGTCGATGTATTTATGTTAACGAGGTAAATAGGCATCGTATTCTCTCTTGAATGACATTATGCCAGCACTTCAACTCCAAGGTGCGCAATCAATCTATGCCTGTGAGCGTGCTGCGCCGAGATGGTGTGCTATGTGGTGTGCGTAGTTGAACCTTTTCATATTTAAGTTTGTAGCAAGTAGAGGGCTGCTGCTGTGTGTGCGTTAGTTTTAAAGACCCCCATGAAGCTCAGATTAGAACTCGAACCCTGCTCACAGAGCCTTCAGAGAGATGAGTTCATGGTTTAAGTGATTTTTGTCTCATCAGGTGGACGGGAAACATCAGGAGGCTGGAGTTCAGTTCGAGAGGCTGCAGGTCGACATCCAGCATCTGGACTTAAGTAAGGGATGAACATCTGGAGTCTCTGGAGTCCAGGTGAGTTCTGCTGTTGACCTCCTGTCTCTCTGCTGTCTCCAGGTAAAGTGGCGCCGCTCACCGACAGGAAGCTGCCTCTGGTCGCCGTGGGGAAACACCTGTGTGGAGCCGCGACAGGTGAGAGCAGGGCTCAGCGTTTCCTCTTCTGTTGGGAGAGTAGTCCTCTTCCAACATGAGAGTAACTTGATAACAAAGGTATCAACTGTAGCTGTGAACATGACAGGATGTGTGATTACCTAGAAGAGCATCAGGACTGTTTGAGGCAGATGATAGCTATGTGATTAACATGATGATTCAGCCTCTATGGAGAGAGACATCAAGCATGCTCATTTCTGACGTGGAGCTAATCTGAAGTAAACATTGAATACTGCTTTCTATTCCTCCATCTTGTGACTGTGTAACTCCCTCTCTTGGATATCAGCATGTGAAGGACACTGTTCAGGAACTAGTTGATGCTCTGTATGTGAAGACTCCTTCCATTCTGGAGAGGATCACAGATACATGGATCCTGAGGTTCAAGCTCAAGCTGGTGACGAGTGAGAGTTTTCTAACATCTTCTGTCTCAGATCTGGCTCTCCGCTGTCTGCTCGACACACCGGGACCCCGAGAGGAGAGCGGACCACCACCGAAACGCCTCAAAACCTCAGAAGAAGAGGATTCAGCAGAGCCTGATCGAGTTCCTGGTTCTGGTTCTGGTCCTGGTCCAGTTCTGGGCGTTGCCGTGGCGCTGTGCTGTCACAACCGCTGTGAGTGGCGTCACTACGTTGGGAAAGAGTTCTTCCTGCAGCGAGGAATCGGAGCCGAAGAGTTCTCAGCGTTCTGCAGGATGTCGAGCTGGGCCACGTGTGGAATGAGACCGACCAATCAGGACGCTCCATCTCAGGATCCGGCCAATCAGAGCAGAGAGGAGGAAGAGCACGAACCGGCGGAGGAGAGGGACGCTGTGAGCGGGTAAATATCTCACCTCTGAGGTTTTACTTTTTAGTTTACTTCAGATTTTTCTCTGTTCTGGTTTTTATAGAAGACTTAAAGGAAAGTGAGACAGTAAATATTCTGGTGATCATTTTTTTAATTGTGTATAAATGTTCTTCCCTGCTGCTTTAAGACTTTAGATCATGTGGGAAACGTTTTAGCAGGAAAGTCTTTTATACCTCATTCACACCAACGGTGTTTCAGGGCCGGTTCGGAGCTGGAGCTTGAAAAGCACCGGGTTTTCCTCTTCACACCGCAGCGGAGCAGCCTCTTATGGCGCGTTTCCACTGCAGCGGGGTAGCCCCGTTTAAGCGTCCTCGCTCAGGCCTCGGGCTGCCTCGCTGGCCGGCCCAGGCCGTGGCGCATTTCCATTACAGTTTAGGACCTGGGGTAGCAACGCAGTGTAGGCGGGGCGATCGGCTTTGTTTTTGTTCACATTTCGAGTTCTTCCGTCGAGCTCCCGCTGGATTTGATCATCCCCAATGAGATGTAGGAACGTCGTCACCTCCTCGGTCGACCACGGTGTGCTTTTCTTATTAGACGTAGCCATTTTTGTAGCTCATCCGTTTACAAAATGCTGTTTATAAAAATGCTTGCAAGCTTGCTTCTAAATATATATGCGACGCTAGGGATGAACTCGCGCGCGATCTTGTGACGATTCTCTCTGACCAATCAGCAGTCGAGAGTGTTGACGTCACTAGTTCAGCCCTGGCCCTGGTCTGAGGGAACCACGATTTTATGAGGCCGGAAAAAGAGGGAAAAAGTACCCGCTGGCCGGTACTAGGCTATATGGAAAGGCCACCAAAAACCGGCCTGGCCGCTTGAGGACGGTTAAGGACGCTTAAACGGGGCTACCCGCTGCAGTGGAAACGCGCCATTAGCTCCGGAATCCGGTTCGTTTCAAGCACCAAAAAATTGTCCAGCCTCAGCAAAAGCACCGCATACGTTACGCTTACGTTGAGGCGGGGGCAGAGACAGATCAACTCCTGAACAACAACAAGAAGCCCGCGTTTTATCCAACGATGGAGAAACGTAACAAGCAGCAGTGGTCCACTGAAGAGACCAGCTACCTGCTGGGAATCTGGTCTTCCGAAGAGGTACAGAGGAAGCTGGAGCACAATCGGCCATTGTTGTTGTTGTCGGTGTCAGCTGTGAGGGGTTTCCGCGGGTTATGTCATGACGCAAACGATGACGCAGCACCAGTCGGACTCTGGGCGGTGTGAAAAGAGCCTCTGCTAAACCGAAGAACCGGTTCTGAACCTGAAAAGCTCTAGCACGGAGCTTGAACCGGAGTTGCGTTGGTGTGAATGAGGTATCAGTGTTCAATTAATTTCAAACCTTTATTTATCCAGGAGAATCCCATCGAGATCATTGATCTCTTTTCCAAGGCAGACCTGCTCAAGTAGTTCCACATGAAACATAAACAGAACAACAAAAGGACATCATACAGCATCATTACAGGGATTACAATTTACAATAACTATCCACATGAGCAGGTACCTACAGCTTCCGATTGAGTAGCATCCAACCCAGCTTTAAAAACATTTAGTGGCACCAGATTGTTCAGTTTCCATTTCAATTGCAGAGTGTTCCAAGACAGAGGAGCTGCGCATCTAAAGCTGTCTTCCATAAGACAGTCCTAGCAGTTGCCAGTAGGGGTGTAACGGTTCACAGAAGTCACGGTTCGGTACAACAAGAAAAAGCAAAAAAAAGTCCAAAATGCATAATTCCAGGTTTGTTGTTATTTATTTTGAACAGTAGCAAGTTTCAGTTTAAAAATAAGGAACTCTGACATTTTGAATAATTAACTTTATTAAACAGTTAAAAAATAAACCACACACACTCAGATGGCCGTATTATTTATAATGGCTGATGTAAAAACTAAAAGGTTCAATAAGCTGTAAAACTAAAAAGAATGTCTTGAAAATATTACATCATAAATAATAAGAAATTGTTTCAAGAGCGCGAAGTCGTTGAACAACATGTGCCAAAAGCTTCCGTTATTTATGTTGGTCTCTCGGCTCTCATGCCTATTGGTTTAAACAGCGGGGATCAGCTGCTGAACTGCTGCTGTCTTTTGGGCTCCGGTGATTGGCCAATCTGGCTGATGCCTTCTGATATGATGTAGCATGTTTGGCGTGTGTTCTATTAGCATACCGCACCGCTGTCGAGCCACGCCGACACACCGTCCTCCCGATCCACCACTCGCACTCCATCGTTATTGTAGTCCACAGGGAACCCGACATGTTCCCACACAGCTGGTTTAAAAGAAGCAGGTGGTTCTAGCTCCTGTGTGTTATCTGAAATCGCCAAACTAACTTTTCTTCTTCTTGTATTTTGTTCGTGTTGTTGTTGTGTTTCTTCTTGTTCTTCATGTGTTGTTTAAGGGCGGCTGGCAAACAGCTTTTAGGCGCAACACCGCCCCCTGGATTATAAATAGTGTAGTGGATACTGCCCTGAATGACAGACTTTTTTCCCACTCGTAAAAAAAGGCGTATTCGTCGTGTGACTGCGTGTGCCGAACCGTGACGTCCGAACCGTGACGTCCGAACCGTGACGGTACGGGACGAATACGGATACCGTTACACCCCTACAGGGTCGGCGTCATTGGGGGTCATTCGCGGGCCATGCCCCCCCAAATGAGTCACTGTGCCCACCCAACGCAGGGTGGGCAAGCCTTGCCACTTTGCCGATTTTTTTTTTTTTTTTTATCATATAGGCTAAGTGAAAACGTTTCCACGACAGGTTTTTTGTGTGAAATACATCAGAAATAAATAATACAAATATAAAACACAGCCTGAGGTGTGCTCACTGCTGCTCTCTGATTGGTGTGTTGCTTGACCAATGACCCCCGACCTTTTTTTTGTTATCATTACGTGGCTGAGTGTTTAGATGAAAGCCCAGTGGCAATCTGTTAATCTGTTACACTGATTATACAGTAAAGCCATCAAAAATAATATGATATACAGTACAGTACAAGTACATGGGTCTCTGTGTTTCATTCAAGCTCTGTGTGTGTGGCACGAGCGCATTTTGTGAGTGCGCGAGCGGTAACGTGGAATGTTGTGGTTAGCATCTGGTTAGCTAGCTATGCTAACGGATATAAAGGGCTGTTTCTACACCAAGGTGGAGGACAGTCCTCTCCTGTCAGACTGAGAGGATCTTATAACATCAGCTCAGTGAGGTAAGGACTCTCTCAGTGTTTAGATAGTTCACTTTAGTGTAAGTTATCTCAGTGGGTCTCAAACGGTTTGGTCACCATTTATGTAAGTATTTTCGAGGAATACCTTTATATGATCATTATAGTTATTAAAGAGAGAATAAATGAAAAACGGGTATGAAATACTATAGGACACAAGAATACAGTTTAAAAGGGGAATGATTAGTGAAATATCCATAAAGAAAAAGTAAATATGTGTACAGTTCTGTTTCATATGGATGCTGAGTGTAGGCTATCCATAGATCTCTTCACTTTGCTCTCAAAGTGCACCAGATTGATGCATTTAACTTCAATATTTTAAAAATAATCTTCCCGGGGGAGCATGCCCCCAGACCCTCCTAGAGGAGGTTAGGTCCACCCCCACCTAAAACATGTTCATATGGATAGGATACTAAATACATTTGCACACTTTTTATATGATGGCCTATGTCCATATCAAATCAAATCAAGTTTTATTTATATAGCACATTTTTCAACGATTTTTGGTCGAGCCAAAGTGCTGTATATACAGTATAATAAAAAATAACCTACAGTAAAGACACTTTACAGCAAATACAACAGCACAGTTTGTGCAGAATATCAGTATGAGAAAACGACACCCTCTGTCCTTATATGTTTCTGTTTTGGTGGTCGTGCCACAACCGTGCATGTATGCACAAGTCATAGGTGCACTATAGCCTACAATAGCACTACACCCCTGCAATGTGTGTGAAAGACAATAGACTTTACAGCATGTTTTTTTTTTAAATTGAAGTTGCGTTGGTGTTTGTGTGTTGGTTGTTGACGGCAGTGTGTGCCCCCCCCTTGGTAAATGATTGCCCCCCCATTCGAGTTGTTCTAGAGCCGACCCTGCACCCCTAGTTGGCACATTTAATAAAACCACAGCATGCGATCTCAGGCAGTAGCCACTCACAATTCTCCGTGAGATCAGGGAGCAGATGGAAGATGGAAGTTTCCCTAACATGGCTTTGTATATGAAAATGTACCAGTGACTGAGCCTCCGTGCAGTTAGTGAAGGCAAACCAGCCCTTGCATACAGGGTACAGTGATGGGTTAATGCTTTACAGTTTGTCACAAATCTCAGTGCGCTGTGATACGCAGCATCTAACTTTTCCAGGCAATGAGCAGTAGGTGCATTCATATAGATCAGATCACCAGAGTCCAGCACAGGTCAAAGGTCACAGAGCCTTTTCCTGGCCTCAAGCCAGAAACAGGACTTGTTCCTGTAGAAGAAACCTAGCCTAACCCTCAGTTTTTTAAGCAGGTTATTGACATGAAGTTTAAAAGAGAGACAATCATCAAGCCAGATACCAAGGTATTTATAACAGGTAACCACTTCAAGTTTTATTCCTTGCATAGTTACAATATCTAAAACAGGCTCTGGTGTCTTTGTAGCTTTAGAAAAGAGCATTACCTTGGTTTGATCAACATTTAAAAGAAGCTTTAGTTCAGAGAGCTGAGTCTGAATAATGTTAAAAACAGCCTGTAATTTAACACCAGCCTCCTGAATGGAGGGACCTGCACAGAACATCACGGTATCATCCGCATACAAATGTAAAGTAGCTTCATCCACATTTTCACCTAAACTGTTGATATGGAGAATAAAAGTGGACCTGAAACAGAACCTTGAGGAACACCATTAGCAATGTTCAACCACTCAGAAGACAGCCCATCAAAGTGAACACATTGGGACCTTTCAGAGAGGTAGTTCACAAACCACCCACTGCATGGCTGGATATGCCGATACTGAGTAGCCTCTGCTTTAAGATGTGATGATCGACGGTATCAAACACTTTGGAAAGGTCAACAAATAGAGCTGCACAACTCTGCTTATTATCTAAAATACTCGCCACATCATTCACCACTTTCATTGTGGCAGTGATGGTGCTGTGTTGCTTGTGTTTGTTGTTGTACTACTCATTTTGACCACAAGAGGCAATAGTCCCTATTTTAATAAATGCGAGTGCTTTTTAATTTCTCCATTTGCTCGAAACACAAATCGCTGAAATGACAAAAACTTCATCCGTTTTTTAACAGTTTTGTAACCCCCCATCCCCCCCTCATGTTTTCTCTGCAGGTTCCTGTCGGTGGAGGAGAGAGAGCAGGTCGGGCGTCTCTGCAAACAGCTGATCGACGCCGGAAGAATCCACTTCCTGCAGGAGAGAGGATTCAACAGCAAACTGACTCGATACGTTAGCAGTCAGGTGACTCTGGAGAACGTCCTGCTGACCGCTGTCCCCTGAACGCCTCACTGCAGAGAGACGTCCCGCTGACCGCTGTCCCCTGAACGCCTCACTGCAGAGAGACGTCCTGCTGACCGCTGTCCCCTGAACGCCTCACTGCAGAGAGACGTCCTGCTGACAGCTGTCCCCTGAACGCCTCACTGCAGAGAGACGTCCTGCTGACCGCTGTCCCCTGAACGCCTCACTGCAGAGAGACGTCCTGCTGACAGCTGTCCCTGAACGCCTCACTGCAGAGAGACGTCCCGCTGACCGCTGTCCCCTGAACGCCTCACTGCAGAGAGACGTCCCGCTGACCGCTGTCCCCTGAACGCCTCACTGCAGAGAGACGTCCCGCTGACCGCTGTCCCCTGAACGCCTCACTGCAGAGAGACGTCCTGCTGACCGCTGTCCCCTGAACCTCTCACTGCAGAGAGACGTCCCGCTGACCGCTGTCCCCTGAATGCCTCACTGCAGAGAGACGTCCCGCTGACCGCTGTCCCCTGAACGCCTCACTGCAGAGAGACGTCCCGCTGACCGCTGTCCCCTGAACGCCTCACTGCAGAGAGACGTCCCGCTGACCGCTGTCCCCTGAACGCCTCACTGCAGAGAGACGTCCCGCTCACCGCTGTCCCCTGAACGCCTCACTGCAGAGAGACGTCCTGCTGACCGCTGTCCCCTGAACGCCTCACTGCAGAGAGACGTCCTGCTGACCGCTGTCCCCTGAACGCCTCACTGCAGAGAGACGTCCTGCTGACCGCTGTCCCCTGAACGCCTCACTGCAGAGAGACGTCCCGCTGACCGCTGTCCCCTGAATGCCTCACTGCAGAGAGACGTCCTGCTGACCGCTGTCCCCTGAACGCCTCACTGCAGAGAGACGTCCTGCTGACCGCTGTCCCCTGAACGCCTCACTGCAGAGAGACGTCCCGCTGACCGCTGTCCCCTGAACGCCTCACTGCAGAGAGACGTCCCGCTGACCGCTGTCCCCTGAACGCCTCACTGCAGAGAGACGTCCCGCTGACCGCTGTCCCCTGAACGCCTCACTGCAGAGAGACGTCCCGCTGACCGCTGTTCCCTGAACGCCTCACTGCAGAGAGACGTCCTGCTGACCGCTGTCCCCTGAACGCCTCACTGCAGAGAGACGTCCTGCTGACCGCTGTCCCCTGAACGCCTCACTGCAGAGAGACGTCCTGCTGACCGCTGTCCCCTGAACGCCTCACTGCAGAGAGACGTCCTGCTGACTGCTGTCCCCTGAACGCCTCACTGCAGAGAGACGTCCTGCTGACCGCTGTCCCCTGAACGCCTCACTGCAGAGAGACGTCCCGCTGACCGCTGTCCCCTGAACGCCTCACTGCAGAGAGACGTCCCGCTGACCGCTGTCCCCTGAACGCCTCACTGCAGAGAGACGTCCCGCTGACCGCTGTCCCCTGAACGCCTCACTGCAGAGAGACGTCCTGCTGACCGCTGTCCCCTGAACGCCTCACTGCAGAGAGACGTCCTGCTGACCGCTGTCCCCTGAACGCCTCACTGCAGAGAGACGTCCTGCTGACCGCTGTCCCCTGAACGCCTCACTGCAGAGAGACGTCCTGCTGACCGCTGTCCCCTGAACGCCTCACTGTAGAGACACTATCAGGGTTTTTATTTACAGTTTAAATGAAAATATGTTTTCAAACGTTTTTTAAGTTTTTATTAAAGAGTTTTTACTTTAATTAACCCTTTTTATTTCTCATTTTTAATAGATTTTGTATGATAAAATATATAAATACAATTTTAATGCAAAGGGGGATATTTATTTGTTCTTACAGTGTGAGATATGTGCATCAATATACACTTTTTATGGGAGTTAACATACACTTAGTAAATATAGGAAGGACATACAACATTATAGAACATTTTAAAAAACGTCCCTGAAGAGGCACTATGGTTACACAAACAGGAAACAGTCAGTAATTAAAGAGTCCCTATTCTGCTTTCTGTGGTGTTCCCTCTCCTGTTGTTAAAGTAGAGACACTACATACTGATATACACCTGAACATCAGCAGGAGAGGACTCTTTAAAGTAGAGACACTACATACTGATATACACCTGAACATCAGCAGGAGAGGACTCTTTAAAGTAGAGGCACTACATACTGATATACACCTGAACATCAGCAGGAGAGGACTCTTTAAAGTAGAGACACTACATACTGATATACACCTGAACATCAGCAGGAGAGGACTCTTTAAAATAGAGACACTACATACTGATATACACCTGAACATCAGCAGGAGAGGACTCTTTAAAGTAGAGACACTACATACTGATATACACCTGAACATCAGCAGGAGAGGACTCTTTAAAGTAGAGGCACTACATACTGATATACACCTGAACATCAGCAGGAGAGGACTCTTTAAAGTAGAGACACTACATACTGATATACACCTGAACATCAGCAGGAGAGGACTCTTTAAAGTAGAGACACTACATACTGATATACACCTGAACATCAGCAGGAGAGGACTCTTTAAAGTAGAGACACTACATACTGATATACACCTGAACATCAGCAGGAGAGGACTCTTTAAAGTAGAGACAACTACATACTGATATACACCTGAACACCAGCAGGAGAGGACTCTTTAAAGTAGAGACACTACATACTGATATACACCTGAACATCAGCAGGAGAGGACTCTTTAAAGTAGAGGCTACTACATACTGATATACACCTGAACATCAGCAGGAGAGGACTCTTTAAAGTAGAGGCACTACATACTGATATACACCTGAACATCAGCAGGAGAGGACTCTTTAAAGTAGAGACACTACATACTGATATACACCTGAACATCAGCAGGAGAGGACTCTTTAAAGTAGAGACACTACATACTGATATACACCTGAACATCAGCAGGAGAGGACTCTTTAAAGTAGAGACACTACATACTGATATACACCTGAACATCAGCAGGAGAGGACTCTTTAAAGTAGAGACACTACATACTGATATACACCTGAACATCAGCAGGAGAGGACTCTTTAAAGTAGAGACACTACATACTGATATACACCTGAACATCAGCAGGAGAGCACTCTTTAAAGTAGAGACACTACATACTGATATACACCTGAACATCAGCAAGAGAGGACTCTTTAAAGTAGAGACACTACATACTGATATACACCTGAACATCAGCAGGAGAGGACTCTTTAAAGTAGAGACACTACATACTGATATACACCTGAACATCAGCAGGAGAGCACTCTTTAAAGTAGAGGACACTACATACTGATATACACCTGAACATCAGCAAGAGAGGACTCTTTAAAGTAGAGACACTACATACTGATATACACCTGAACATCAGCAGGAGAGCACTCTTTAAAGTAGAGACACTACATACTGATATACACCTGAACATCAGCAAGAGAGGACTCTTTAAAGTAGAGACACTACATACTGATATACACCTGAACATCAGCAAGAGAGGACTCATATCAGAGTCTGTGTTTGACCAGATATTAAAGTGAATGATGTAAGCTGTTGGCTCGGTGCATGTTGAGGAAGGCGTGCGCTCTCTTCCTGGCTTCCTGGATGTAAAGCTGCATGAACTCTCTCCCAAACAACTCCCTGTCCTCTTCCTCCTCCCCCTCCTCCTCCCCCTCCTCCTCCCCCTCCTCCTCGCTGCTCTTCCTCCTCTTGCCTGGCAGCGTCACCTCCAGACTCAGAGGGTTGTCTCTGAAGTTGACGAAGCGCAGTCTGGACATGTCCTCCATCAGCGGGGGGATGTCTGACAGTCGGTTGCTGCTGAGGACCAGCGTGGTCAGGTTCTGCATCCGGATGATGTTCTCTGGGAGTCTCTGCAGCTCGTTCCTCTGCAGCCACAGGGTGTGCAGCGTCTCCATCCTGAGCACACACACACACTCATCAATAAACGGGATGGAAACTCTCCAGATGCTCTATAAGGTTCATGAACGTTGTATAAGATGCACATCAGAGGGAGGGTTTCAATGCTTACTGTTCCCTTATTGTGAAGGTTTACTACTCCCTGTAACTGCAAGTCTATTTCATTGCAACTGGTGAAATGTCCTCAACTTCTTCTAAATGAAGAATTGTAAAAATGAAACATTATGTGTGCAGGGCTTTTATTGTGAAAGGCAGTGGTTGAAGAAGTATTCACTCAGTTACTTGAGTAATAGTAAGATCAGATAAGAGCAGCAGCATAAAAAACAACAAAACAAAACATTGCACATAAGTAGTAATAAACAACACCGCATTACAAAGTAGAAACATATACAGTAGACCGTGAAGATAATAAATCTATAAACTCCGACAAGAAAACAATATTGAAGGGTGTTGGAGAAAATACAAGTTGTCTCCACTTTATGGGTTGTTTTAATGCACTGATCCTACAGTATGTGTGACTCTGAACTGTACGACGGAGCAGCTGCCTCTTGCTGTGATAGGAGGAGACAGGGCATTTCAGGTTGTTGATATTTATGAGAAGACACATACTTGCTGTCTCCTAAATATCTCATTTCTATGAGGCGTGAAGGAAGAACGTCGCAGATGTCCCCGTCACCTTTCCGACACCTGCGGATGATATTAGCGCCACCTCGATTTACGACTTGTTGTTATCTCCGTGTTTTGGACTAAATAAGCCTGATGTTTTGTTCCTGCTCCGTTGAGCAACACCACAGTGTGTGAGTTAACCCATATCCTTTGTATGTGATTGAACTCTGCTCCTTCTTGCAAGAATAAATTAGAACCTGATTATTGATTCTCAACCTGGTGTCGAGTGATATTTTCCTAACAAGGGCGTTAGACACAATATACAATAAAGTAGGATGGTACCAATACCACACTGTAAAAAACAACACCGAGAATGGTACTTAAGTAAAAGTATTTAAGTAGGATTAGGAAAATGTACTTGAGGTATTAGAAGTACAAGTACAAGAAAAAAACTATAACATTAATTAAAATAATGAAGCTGAAACTGTGAATACAAACGACTGAACTAAAGCTGTAAGTATCATAAAGGTTTGTTTGTTAGATTATTTTCTGCAATAGCTGGTTCAGCATTCATTGGCTGGTGGCAGAAATGGGGCGGGGCCTCAGGGACTCACCTGTCGATGTCCTCAGGTAAACACTCCAGGCAGTTTCCTCCCATGTCGAGCCACTCGAGAGCCGGCATGTGGAGCAGGCAGTCCGGCATGAAGCTGAAGGCGTTCATGGAGAGGTCCAGGTGGTTCAGCTTCTTCAGGTTCCTCAGCTGAGGGTCAAACACACCTGAGGTCAGACAGGGGGGGGGGGTCTGGACCTGGTCTGTAGTCTGACTGAGGTAGTGGTCTTTACCTGATGTAGTGGTCTTTACCTGAGGTAAAGGTCTTTACTTGAGGTAGTGGTCTTTACCTGGTCTGTAGTCGGACTGAGGTGGTGGTCTTTACCCAGTCTGTTCCTATTCTATACTTGATCTGAGCCTGTTATTTATCCTTACCTTGGTGGTGGTATGTACCTGGTCTGAGGTATGTACCTGATCTGAGGTCTGTACCTGATCTGAGGTATGTACCTGATCTGAGGGTCTGTACCTGATCTGAGGTCTGTACCTGATCTGAGGTATGTACCTGATCTGAGGTCTGTACCTGATCTGAGGTCTGTACCTGATCTGAGGTCAGTACCTGATCTGAGGGCTGCACCTGGTCTGAGGTCTGTACCTGATCTGAGGTCAGTACCTGATCTGAGGTCTGTACCTGATCTGAGGTATGTACCTGATCTGAGGTCTGTACCTGATCTGAGGTACAGTACCTGATCTGAGGTCTGTACCTGATCTGAAGGTCTGTACCTGATCTGAGGTCTGTACCTTGATCTGAGGTATGTACCTGATCTGAGGTCTGTACCTGATCTGAGGTCTGTACCTGATCTGAGGTCTGTACCTGATCTGAGGTCTGTACCTGATCTGAGGTATGTACCTGATCTGAGGTCTGTACCTGATCTGAGGTCTGTACCTGATCTGAGGTCTGTACCTGATCTGAGGTCTGTACCTGATCTGAGGTCAGTACCTGATCTGAGGGCTGCACCTGGTCTGAGGTCTGTACCTGATCTGAGGTCAGTACCTGATCTGAGGTCTGCACCTGATCTGAGGTCTGAAACCTGATCTGAGGTCTGCACCTGATCTGAGGTCTGTACCTGATCTGAGGTCTGCACCTGGTCTGAGGTCTGTACCTGATCTGAGGTCTGCACCTGGTCTGAGGTCTGTACCTGATCTGAGGTCAGTACCTGGTCTCTGATCTGTACCTGGTCTCTGATCTGTACCTGGTCTGTAACTGATCTGTGGTCAGTACCTGGTCTGGCAGTTCGCTCAGTTCCCGGTTCATGGCCAGCTCCAGCCTTTCCAGACTCTCACAGCCGCTCAGGTCTTCAGGAACAGACTCGATCCTGTTGTAGCTCAGCAGCAGCTCTTTGAGGCGGGTCAGCTGCCCTACAGAACCAGAACCCAACAGGACTCACTGAGACAGAACCAGAACACAACAGGACTCACTGAGAGAGAACCAGAACACAACAGGACGCACTGAGAGAGAACCAGAACACAACAGGACGCACTGAGAGAGAACCAGAACACAACAGGACTCACTCAGACAAAACCACAACAGGACTCACTGCAAAACCAGGTCTAGATCCCTGGAATCTGTGTTACTAAGACTAAACATTGTTTGTAGATGTACTGACCGAGGGGTTTGGGGATCTCTGAGATCCCGTTTCGGGACAGATCCAGAACTATGAGGTTCTGGAAGCTGGAGATGAACTGAGGGATCTTCTGAAGGCCGGTCCGGTGGATCTGCCACTCCTGGACCTGGGTGAACTGGATCAAGCAGCCCGGCAGCGACTGAAACATGAAGAGACATCAGAGACAGCAGAGACCACCACTGAGACCTCCTTCAGAGTCCAATTAGACCTCCTACAGGGTCCATTTAGACCTCCTGCAGGTTCACTTACCTTCCAGTCTTCCTGTTCGATCCGGAGGACCAGCCGTCCCTCTTCAGTCTGCAGTTTCTCCTTCAGCCGGGCCAGAATCGCCCGGTCCTCCCAGGCACCAACACTGAGTCTGAACCGGGAACAGCAACCATTAGAGACCAGGACTCAGACTGAACCAGGAACAGAACCATTAGAGACCAGGACTCAGACTGAACCAGGAACAGAACCATTAGAGACCAGGACTCAGACTGAACCAGGAACAGAACCATTAGAGACCAGGACTCAGACTGAACCAGGAACAGAACCATTAGAGACCAGGACTCAGACTGAACCAGGAACAGAACCATTAGAGACCAGGACTCAGACTGAACCAGGAACAGGGATTGTTACAGACCAGAACTTGATATGAACTATCAGGGACCAGTACTCAGTCTGCACCAGGGCTCTGGTGAAGTCGAATAGCTAAACAAATGTATGTCCTGTTTTGCCAATTCATCATCTTACTCCAAATGGGACCATCTTTTCCTAAAGGGACATCATGCTGTGTTGAAGAAGACTTGAAACTACAGATTGAAACATAAACTCATCAGGAAAATGTTACTGAGGTAATAAATCAAGAGAGAAGTAGGAACATTTTGACTTCTACACAATCGGAGGAGTCGCCCCCTGCTGGACATTAGAGAGAATGCAGGTGTTTATAATAACAGAAGTTTCTCTGACCTGCTCCTCGGGCTCTTCGTCTGGTCCTCCTTCTCCTCCTGGACTCTCTTGATCCTCGTTTCCCACAAAGCTTTGATGGAGCTCACAGAGCCGCAGGCCACGACCACCATGATGACCACTTCCTGTTGACCACTTCCTGTTGACAACTTCCTGCTTACCACTTCCTGTTGATCACCTCCTGTTGTTGATCACTTCCTGTGCCGTCACAGTGAGTTCGGACAGGATGACGTCTTCCTGCCTCTCAGCATCCTGCGGGAAATATTACCTCAAAATATTATTCAAAATAGTTTCATAGGTTAGAACTCCATACCTCGTATTCTTCAAGTATTCAGTAGTATGGTTATAATATAAAGAAGTATTTTGAAGAAGTATTCAGACGTGTTTCTGTAGTATTGGCAGTATAAAGTATTATTTCAGTGGTACTCAGTAGTCATTTTGTAAAATTAATGGTACTATTAAGTAGTATTTAGTGATATTATTGGTATAATTGAGTATAATTCAGTAGTATTGTTAGTAGTATTCAGCAGTATTGTTGAAGTATTCCGTAGTATTTAATAGTATAGTTGGTAGTGTTGAGTATAGTATTGTAGTAGTATTCAGAAGTATTGCTGTAGTATTGTTTGAAGTATTCCCTAGTATTGTAGAAGTATTATCGGTAAAGTATTTAGTAGTGTTATTGTTAGTACTCAGTGTGTTGGTAGTATTCAGTAGCAGTATTGCAGTACTATAGTGTCTTACATCGTGTTTGTGTACATGTGTGTATTCAGTAGTATTTCTGTATTAACTGAGTAGTTTTGTAGTATTTCTGAATAGTGTCTCATCTCAGTAGTAGTATAAGCTTAGTATCGCAGTATTATGTGTTAGTATGGTGTCTCGCCTGGTGTGTGTGTGCAGCAGTGTGTGTACTGTTGGTATTATTCAGAGGAAGTATTGTAGTATTTTATAGCCTCACCTTGTACTGCAGGCGTCCTCCATGCTGCGTCCTGCGCCTGTAATCTGACCTCAGGTCTGTTTTTAGCCTCCAGGGTCACATGACCCCTCCGACACAAAGAGAGTCACATGACGCTCTGCTGATATAAATACACCTTTAATAAGAACTAAAGCTAGAAGCAGATTATTTCTATTTGATATCCGTTTTAATATGTTCTGTTGAGGAATCACATGGCTTCACTGACTCTGGCCTTCAGAGGCAGACTTTTAGAAACTAAATCCAGTTTTTATTTCTGCATTTATTTAACTTCTGTTACACAGGTTTTCTGTGAGTTTATTTCCCTTTCAAAAGATTAAATTCAGAAGCGTCAGAAGGTAGAATCCCCTCAAAGACTTCCATACAAACAGCCAGTTGCTATTTAGGAGATTTAGAATGAAAACAAAGACGAGGACATCAATTAATTATAAAAAGCAGATTTCTGAGTATGGGAAAAAAAATCTGAATTTTGAAAAGAGCAGCGTGATCAAAACAGGAAGGACGAAGAAGAATACAACTGGAATGTAACTGGAGTTCTGTCTCACAAGCACGAGGCGAGGTCGCAGGCTGGATCATGGACATTTATATTTGATTTAGTTACAAAAAGGCAGATGTATCTTTGTGTTATGTTCAACACCTGAATTCAATGATTAAGAGGAGTGTGCCAATATTTTCGACTATATAGTGTATTTTGTTTCATTATTGTAACCTGTTCAGCCCCGAGCCTGTTTCCAGAACAAAGGACCATATCTTCTAAAAGGGTTACATTAATAACCTTTGTTCTCAAAGCAATGATAAACCTGTGAGTTGGATGCAGAAAAGTCAGAATCAATATAGATGTTTTTATTGTAAAGTCAATTCAGATTGAACATGGTAAAAAAAATGTTAATTATTGTGTCCGTCCAAAAAAAAAAAAGACTTATAGTGAAAACCACTGCAGAGGTCTTTTCTCAGGGATCCCAGAGCGGGTGCCCCTTAAGTTACCACATGACATACAACTGAGTTACATATTAAACTGGGCCTACAATACAGCGTCATAAAAATAGGGAGCCTCTTGTAGCAGGTTAGATCAACACTATGAAAACAACAGCTGTGAAGCTGTAAAATGGTTCCATTTCAGGTCTTCAACCTGCTCTTTTTATGACCCTCACACATTTCATAGATAAGATACCAGACCTTCAAAGACTTAATGTGTTACTTACCTGATCATTGTAATGATTCACTTCGACTCACCTGAGACAAACAACATGTTGTTGAGGATAAGACTCCACTGAGAGGACGTCTACAGGAGGGAACACTGGAACACCTTGCACTTCAAGCAGCTGCTGAATCCACACGCTGAGTTTCACCAGACAAGGACTCAAAGTGAGAGGGACGCCTCCGGGGACAGGGAGCGGCTGCTGCTGAGTTCACTGCTTCACTCACAGACCACACTGTCTGCCATGACATCTTTAAAGATCCTGTGGTCCTGTCCTGCAGCCACAGCTTCTGCAGAGCCTGTCTGCAGAGCTGGTGGACGGAGAAAGTCATCAAAGAGAGTCCACTTTGTAAGAGAAGACATTCAAGCGATTGTCCTCCTAGCTTTGCTTTAAAGAAGCGGTGTGTGAGAGTTTCCTACAGGAGAAGAGAGGTCAGAGACCTCCAGAGGCTATCTGCACTCTGCACTCTGAGAAACTCAAACTCTTCTGTCTGGACCATCAGCAGCCAGTGCTGTGTCATCTGCAGAGATTCAAGAACACACACCAACCACAGATTCAGACCCATCGAGGAAGCTGCTCGACAACACAAGAAGGAGCTTCAGGAAACTCTGCAGCCCTTCAAGGAGAAGTTAAAGTGAAGTGTGCTCACACAGCAGGACTCCTGAAGGTCCAGGCTCAACACACAGAGACGCAGATTAAGAAGCAGTTTCAGAAGCTTCACCAGTTTCTAGAAGAGGAAGAGGAGGCCAGGATGGCTGCACTGAGGGGAGGAAGAGGAGCAGAAGACGAGGGTGATGGAGGAGAAGATGGAGGCTGTGAGCAGAGAGATAGCAGCTCTTTCACACACAGTCAGAGCCACAGAGGAGGAGCTGAGAGCTGAAGACGTCTCCTTCCTGCTCAACTACAAGGCTGCAGTGGAGAGGCTGCAGCGCCCCCTGCTGGAGGATCTTCCCTCAGACGCTCTGATAGACCCAGGCCAAACACCTGGGCAACCTCAGCTTCAACATCTGGAGCAAGATGAAGGACATGGTGTCCTACTCTCCTCTCATCCTGGACCCAAACACTGCTCATCCATTACTCATCCTGTCTGAAGATCTGACCGGCGTGAGACGAGGAGAAGAGGCAGGAACTCCCTGAGAACCCAGAGAGGTTTGATCAATGCTACTTATCTGTCCTGGGCTCTGAGGGCTTTGACTCAGGGACTCACAGCTGGGACGGTCCACGTTGGAGACAATGATGGCTGGAGAGTGGGAGTGTTAGCAGAGGAAGGGAGGCATAGAGTCTGGGTTATGGAGAATACAGTCTGTATTTGGTAAAACACTCAGCACAGTCACCATCAGCTCCAGAAACTCCTCTCCTCCTGCAGAAGAAGCTCCAGAGGGTCAGAGTGAGTCCTGGACTGGAACAGAGGACAGCTTGTCGTTCTCTGATCCTGACACTAACACACACATACACACCTTCACACACACTTTCATTGAGAGGCTGTTTCCATACATTGGAAATATGCTTGTTCGCCCACTTCAGGTGTTCCCAGTGAAGGTCTCTGTGACTGTGGATCAACATTAATGATGATGATATGTGTGTGTCTATCAAGGAGCATCCATTGATTCTGGTGTTTTGCTTATGGGTATTTTGTGTGTGAAATGATTTTGATTGAGTTTGCAACGCTTTCCTTTACAAGTGAATCGTATCACCTTCAAATCAGAGACTGTTAAGGCAGGGAGATTTATTTAGACAATGTGTAAACTCGCCTAAATGTGTAATATGCTCACCGGACTAAAGCGAGTGATCACAGGTTTAGCAAAGCTCCTGCTCTGGTGCACCACGAACCTGCTGTCGATCGCCCACCACGATGCTGGCGATCTGTCGCCCACCACGATGCTGTCGATCGCCCACCACGATGCTGCCGACTCGCCCACCACGATGCTGCCGATCACCCACCACGATGCTTGCCGATCACCCACCCGATGCTGTCGATCGCCCACCACGATGCTGTCGATCGCCCAGTAGCACGGGATGAAGGCCTCGCCTAAAGCACAACAGGATCGGAATGTGAATATAACGTGAATATAACGTGAATATAACGTGAGTTATAACGTGAGTATAACGTGAGTATAACGTGAGTATAACGTGAATATAACGTGAGTATAACGTGACGTATAACGTGAGTATAAAGTGAGTATAACGTGAGTATAACGTGAGTATAAAGTGAGTATAATGTGAGTATAACGTGAGTATAACGTGAGTATAACGTGAGTATAACCGTGAGTATAAAGTGAGTATAAACGTGAGTATAACGTGAGTATAAAGTGAGTATAACGTGAGTATAACGTGAGTATAAGCTGACATCTCTCAGTGGATGTCTGATCTCACCTCAAGCTCAACCTTGACAAGCTGAGGCATGCTCTTCCTCCCGGGAAAAGATGTCCCACTCTTGACCTAACAATCAACATCGGCACCTCAGTTGTGTTCCCCGACTCAGACGCAAGGAATCTGGGGGGTTGACCCTATAGTACAACCTGTCCTTCACTGCAAACATCGCTGCTACAACCTGCTGCTGCAGATACACGCTTTACAACATCAGGAAGATACGTCCCCAGCTGACTCAGAAAGCGACTCAGGTTCTGGTCCAGGCTCTCGTCATCTCACGCCTAGACTACTGCAACTCCCTCCTGGCTGGTCTACCTGCATGTGCCATCCGACTCTGCAGCTCATCCAGAATGCAGCGGCTCGTCTGGTTTTCAACCTTCCTAAATGTTCCCACTACCCACGCCGCTCCTCCGCTCCCTTCACTGGCTTCCGGTAACTGCTAGAAATCCACTTCAAACCTGGTACTTGCGTACCGATGCTGCCAATGGATCTGGCCCTTCCTACATCCAGGACATGGTTAAAACCGTACACCCCACGCGTGCATGCAATGAGCTCCCCATTGAC